GCGGCGGAATGGGCTTCCGCGCTGTCTGCGAACTTGCCTTAGATGGCAACTTTGGGAGCTGCAGAGCTGCCTGGCGAGAGCGGGGCGGCGAGGCCATTTGGTCATTTTCCTTTCTGCTCTTCTCCCCCCGTTAAAAAAAAAAAAAACAACGTTGGCGGGGTCGGAGCGGGGGTAGGAGAGAAGGATGTGTCTGTTTCGGTGGCGGAGGTGGAAAGCCTGCTAGGCGGGGAGCGCGGCCGGGCAGCTGCAGTTTGCCCTGCTGGTGACCTTGACCCTGACCTCCTGCGACTACCCTCTAGTCTGGGAGGAAATTCAGGCTCCATTTTAGCTCGTGTGCGCGGTGGGCCTGTCCTGTGCGCTGGAGCCTGGCGGTTAAGTTATATTTTGAGTGTGGGCTCTCCCACCCTGCTCGCTAATTGAATACTGTTATCCACTCACTTAAAAAACCAGCTCGCGCTTGCAGTCAAGAAAGCCACTTGGGCTGAAGTAAAGCAGTTACCTTTTGGAAACACCATAAAACGTCCCTCCCGGTTTTTTTTTTTTTTTTTTTTTTTTAAAGAAAGCCTAATATGTGAACCTTTTTCCACTTACCTTTGCGTTGAGTGGAGTTTTGTGGATGTTTGAGGCTTGCCCTGAGCCTGGTTCTTGCAGGTTTTGTAAACAGTTTACACTTGCTTGGAACCACTGCTGGAGGGGTAGGATGCATTTTGCAATTCTGACAGGGTAACCCGAGGCCCTTTAAATGCCCAGCCAGTCTTGAAGAAACTTGCAGTGGTGTGGAGTTGTAATAAATATGAACTTTGGTAAAATAAGTGTTAATTTATTTTTAATGTAGAATATAATTGTAGTCCTAAACCCCAGTTGAAATACATTTTTTATTTGTGTGGGAGGAGCTGAGGTTTCATTCCAGGATTTTAAGAAGTTAAGTGGGAGCAGATTTAAAACAGAACCCTAAAACAGGACTGAGGTGTGATATTTGGGGGGTGAGGGAGGAGGGGGAATGTGATGGGGGAATTGCTTTTCAAACTAAAGAGCTCTTCTGAGTCAACATGAGAGTGGTTAACAGCTACTATTGATATGTTTTAAGAATCTGGAGAACCTGTGAACACACGTTTAAGAAGTTTCAATGAGAGAACAAAAATATAAGAAACTGGTGAAAGCTGAATCCAGAGACAATTTGGAATGCTCCTTCCTTGCTTTTAGGACCCCTCTTGCTCTGTACCCCCAAGAAAGAGGGAGTCTTCTCGGTATCCACCTATCTCTGGGTTTGTAGGCCGCCGCCCTCCCCACTCTGGAGCATGAATACCCAGGAACCTGGAAGTTTCAGCCTCCGCTGCATCAGTCCTGGAAATCCCGCCTAGCGCTTGGTAGTCTCTGCTACCAAGGCTGGGTGAGCCTCAGCAGCTGGCACGCGGTCCCGCAATTCCCCAAGCTGGACTTTGGCCTGCTAAGGTTTCCTAGCTCCTTCTGTTCATCGAGATACCCCTGGGAGCTTCAGAACCAAATTAGCTTTGGGGATGGGTGCGCCTTTAACCTGGCACTACTTACCCTAAAGCATTAGATTTTCTGATTTCAAGTTCTACAAGTCATTTCCTCTTGGGCCTCTGGGGTTGAGGGGTGTATGTGTGTGTTATATGGGTCTCATACACATGCAGAAAAAAGGGAGCCTGTCTTAGAGCGTTGATAGCATCTTTGCCCACTTGGAGTTCACCCCTCAGGGAAGTATGTTAAACTTCTACCTTTTTTTTTTAAGTTGAGGTCACATTGGTTTACTGCCGACACTATTTTGAGAGGTGGCTTTAAAGATTACACACCATGAAGCCTTTCTTCCTTGGACTAGAAACGATCATCAGGATTTTAACCTGTCTGCTCCCGTGGTGGTCCTTCTCCAGTGTTCTCTCCAGGAGCCAGACCTAGTGGCCTGGGCAAGAAAACGCTGCGATCTGGGCCCTGCTTTGTGCTGCTGGTTAGCAGGATCCCAGACCTTGCAGCTCAAAAATGTTTGTCAGCCTGAGAAAGAGGAAGAGAGGGGAAGGATACCGTGACTTTTGCCAGTTCTGGGGCTGAACAGCTTACACCTGCGGTGGCAGACTCCAGAGAAAAAGGCAAGGCGTCTTTGTTGTAAATCCTGTCACCATGGGCTCCATTGGCACTGGTGAGATTTCCTCGTTAGCATCAACGTATCCAGAAACGCGTGCAGTTTCCATCCTAGTATATTTATCGCTGGACATCTGCCGGGTGCCTCTGCCTGGGGCTTGGCACTTGGAAAAGTTAATGAAACAGTTGTTTTGTTAGTCTAGTATTTTCTTTGTTGACTCCGTTGCAGGTCAAGCTTGGAACTCATTGTATTGTTCAATAGCAAAACTTTTAAAATTCTCCATTGCTTTCTAGTAAAATTGGGAAGCAAAATGAAATGCAACAGGAACCCTCACTTTTACATGTTTTCTTGCCTGTTGAAAGATGGAGGCTGGAGGGCTGAGCTCTTTTCCCTACTTAGTCATTTTTGCAGCGATGAGGCAATACCTCTGAAGTATGACAGGGCCCACAGGGAAAATTTTGAGTCTGGAGTAACAAAATATCCTGCTCCTGTCAGCCAGAGGTAACTCCAGGAGCAGCGAGGTTGAGACTGGGCACATGCCTGTGTGTTGTACAAGAAAGCGAGTTCCTAACACAGTAGGTAGGCCGCTGAGCTTCCTTGGTAACTATAACGATATGCGCTCAAAATCCCCCCTTCTAGTGCTTCGGAATAGTTTTCTAATACAATAAATTCATTTCTAATTTGTCTACTGTGCTGTCATCCAGCTCTGGGGGTACACAGCTGGGCGAGC